TCACAAAGTGATTTATGGTTTGGACTGACCGGAATTACTGTTTTGCCTTTAGTCTCATCTCTTGCTCCTTAAGTCATACTAGTTCTCTAATAAATAACCGTCAATGATCATTGATTAATTCTTCTTGGAGTATCAAAAGGGCAGATACATACTCTGAGCGCTGAACCAGTATTTTAGGGGAATCACTTGTATACACAATCAAGAGGCTGCGAGTTTCATATTGTGTAGGAATGTTCCAAGCTCCACACGTGAATGTGTTCCTAAACAAAAGGCTTTTTGCGAAAACGCTCACGTCATCCTTGTCCACATGAATCCAAAAACACCCTCGCGTAGGTGTGAGTTCATAACACACTCAAGATTAAGATCAATTAAGCTTTTAAAACAATAATATCTCAGTTCTGCATTAATACTCCCGGAAACTCTGGAAAAAAAACCAATTTAAGCACTGAACTTCAACCAATATGACAGTCATCATAAATAACAAAAAAAAAAATAGTTCGAATCAAGCTTTACCCTTTCAGGGTACATTTCTTAGCAAACAACAAAATTAGGTGAATTCAATAAATGAGCAAAAGAATTTATATAAGAAACAACAATGTATTAGAAAACTTTTATGGACAAAGTTCGTGGTTTAAATAAAGTTCCACAAAATTAAATAATAAATGATTCAGCCAAAATCAAGCCTATAAATGCATCGCCTTACATGCATCGGTATGCACATAAACAATTACATCAAATATAAATACAGCAGGGAAAACGAAACCTTTTTCTTCTTCTGAAGATCTTCCACTTCAGGTTTTCCAATTATAGAATTGGAGAATGAAGAATATGGGGTTTCTTAAATATGGATTCACACCGCCATTGAAGAAGAAGATGCTGGAAGCAGCGGGCCTTCGTGTGTGCTCGCCAATCATCAGGACTAGATTTGCACTGGCCTGATGTTAAGCCTGGATCTGTGCCATTGGGGTGGTGAAACAGTGTCGGGTTTCCGGAGGACTTCACTATTACCAATTTCTACCGGGGTAGAATATTGTTGTCTTATAAGGATTGCAATATTGTTTTCCTATAATAATTGCAATATGTATGTGATATACATATGATATACTACTAATATGAGTGCATGTGTATATATATGTGATATACATCTAATATACTACTGATATGAATGTCTCATATACTACTAATATGAGTATCTTAAAAAATTTTGTTCTATTTAAAAATTTTAAAAATAAGTGACATATTTTAAAATACATAAAACATGCTACCCATTGCATACCGTCAAATATAAATCCAAAACTTCCCCAACTTACTAAAACAAACCCAGCATGATCTTGAAATTATGTGAGTAAAAAAAAGAAAGAAAGAAATAGAGAATCGAAAAGAAACCAATAATAATAATAATAATAATCAACTTCCT